TTGGGAAGATGATCAGCAAGTTAACATAGTTTTTAACATTCATCTTGATTCAATTATTAAAATATAATAAAATACAATTGATTTAGTCATTTTTTCCTTTTTTATGCATAGTTGTTTTTTCTTTTTGGAAAAAGACAAGTTTTCCATTAAACGTCAGATGACATGTACAATTTCCTCCCAGGTATACTCGGGGAATTAGACCTTTCAGATCTTTAATCTCAAAAAATTAACTATCTCATTATATACATCATTTTCAAGCAAAAACTGACTAAGAGTTACTCTCCTATTTCTTTCCTACCAAATCATATATCTAGTGGTAGCTACAGCAGCCTTCAACTTATTTGACTGCGCCAATCGACCTTTACATGCCTTCTTTAACCATAGCCATTCAACACTCCACCTTTTTGGTTGTCTATGAATATTCAAGAAGTCCAAGACTAACCTCCACACTTCTTTAGCAAAACTACAGTCAAAAAATAGGTGCTCACAAGTTTCATCATATCTACAACACAAGTAGCACCCTTTCTCAATTCTCATACCTTTACTTGTTAGCAAATCTCTAGTTTTTAGTCTACCCTGCAATACCAACCAAAAGATGAAGCTATGTCGTAGGAAAATGCACCCTACCCAACAATATGATGCCATTCTACCTTAGGGCGTTTCACTCTTAGAAACTCATAGCAACTCGAAATAGTAAACAAACCATTATTTGCAGGTTTCCATACAGCCTTGTCCACTTGTTGAGATAGTTTTTGACATCTAATAATCTGGACAAGCATGGGATGTCTTGTCACAAAACTATCTAGAATGGTCCAATCTAAACCATCCCACCATTCACTAACTGTAAGGTCATGGCCCCAAACAGCAATCTCATCCTTTGAGATCAACTCACAAAACCTTAACTCACTTGCCCACTAATCATAGAATAGTGAAACCTATCTTCCATCTCGCACTTGCATCCAAATGATATTTTTCAATAGAGGACAAAGCTTTAAAACTTGCCTCCATGTCCAAGCACAATTTGTTGGGATTTTAACCTTCCAAAAATTTTCACCCCTCAACAGCACCACCTGTGCCCACTTAACCCATAACAACTCTTGATGTTGACATATATTCCAGACCAGTCTGCCTAATGCTGCCTTATTCCAATGCAGCAACTGCTTCACCCCTAGTCCCCCTTCTTTCCTTGGCACACATACATCATCCCATGCTACAAGAGACATTGCATTAGAATTCCATTTACCACACCAAATGAAATTTCTACAAGCAGCATCAATTAGCTTTAACACTTTCTTAGGAATCAATAAAGCACCACTCTAAAAAAATTAAATGTGGAATAAAACAGAATTAACTAGTTAAACTCTACCTGCATATGAAAGGAATTTCGTTGACCAAGAGCCAATTCTCTTATGAATTTTATCGATAATAGGTTGACATGGCCCAGGAGACAGCTTTTTTGAAATCAAAGGCAACCCCAAATATCTAACTGGAAGTTGTCCCTCAGCAAAACTCAGCTTCTGAATTAAAGCAACTTTCTGCCTTTCTCTAACACCATTGAAGAAAACCTGACTCTTCATTCTATTCACTTCCAACCCAGAGACTTGGGAAAACTCCTCAAACTTTTGCATCATCATAGTTGTATTTTTTAGTTTATCTGTCTATAATCTTAAACCAAAAATAATAATTTTTTAATAGATATATTGTGCAATATATACCAACTATTGTCCTATGCTTTTACTTCGAATATGTCCCCCAATTTCATTGTCACTCTTTGATATTCTTAAGGTAAATAAATATTTTTTCCTACTTTAATTTTATGGTTATCTATTTACTTTAATTATTCTTCTTATAAAAAAACATTATCTTTATTTTTTTTTATCTAATTCTTAAAAGTAATATAGATAAACACAAAAATTGTTTCCTAATCTTAATATTAGAAAAAAAATACAACAATTATTTTGAAATTGATAGAATATAATTTTTATTGTGAGAAGCAATAATTACTTTATTCAACCCAAAATAACTGTTATTTTTTTATTTTAAATTAATTTTATATTTTAACCCTATTATTATCCACTTATTTCAATTAGGCCAAAGCCCCTATTTGCACCCTCCATTTATTTTTTTTCCGTGGTCAACACCTTCCAAAATTTTTCCTCCTTATTCACACCCTCCACTTTTCAAAACCCGTAAAAAAACTCAATATTTTAACGTGCCGTTACGGAACCATTAAAAAATGCATTACGTGGCACCCAAAAATTGACGTGACATTACGTGGCAGTAGTAATCCAATATAGATCCCTTTTGTTGATGATGTGGCTTATTTTTTACACACGTGGATGCCACGTGTACAGTGAAACCAATAGAAAATTATATTACTTGTGGTACCAAACAGCAATATAAATATGTCACCCGGACTTTTTTTTTTTTTTTTTTATGATGCGGTTGGGTTCCTCATAGGAACCTAGAATGGTTCTGGGTTCTTGCGCAAAACCCAGATCTGGGTTCCTGGCGTGGAACCCGGTTCTTGGTTCTGCGCAAGAACCTAGAACCATTCTGGGTTCTTGTGTGGAACCCAATTCTGGGTTCCTGTGCATGGAACCCAGAACTGGGTTCCGACGAGGAACCCAAATCTGGGTTTTCTGACCATTTTTTTTTTTTTTATTTTGAATATATTTATCTTAGTTTCCTATTTTATGCAAAGCAATTTGGAATAATTTTTTTGTTGGAAAGGTGAGTTTTTTTTTGCTTGGAGATTGTTTTTGAACAGGTTGCCAATTGCCCATTTGAGTTCAAGTAGGATTAACATGAATGGCAATAACGGTTTTTTCATTTTTTGTGGGAAAGGGGTAGAAGATGCATATTTGTTTTTGTGCAGTATTCATTTACTTATAATTGTGTGGATGAAAATCTTAGCTTAGTAGGCATTCATGTGAAATTGGTTGCACGAGGAACTCAGAACCCGGGTTCCGTGAGGAACTCAGGAGGACAAGGACGAGGATGGGGAAGATGATGCTAAGAATGAAGAAAATGAAGAAAATGAAGAAATTAAAATTAATTATGATTTAATTATAACGCATTATTAAAAAAAAAAGTCCACATGGATTAATAAATGTGACATAACGTCTTGGTTCCTAATTCCATGAGGAACCCAGGAGGATGAAGAGGAAGATGATAAAGATGATGTCGGGAAAGAAGAAAATCAAGAGGATAAAGAGGAAGATGATGAAGATGATGTCGGGAAAGAAGAAAATGAAAAAATTAAAATAAATTATGATTTAGCTATGGCATGTCATAAAAAAAAAGTTTACATTGGATTAATAAGATGACATAATGATTATATTACTGTTTGATGCCACGTATTACAATTTTTAACGGTTATTAACGGTTCCGTAACAGCACGTTAAAATATTGGGTTTTTTACGGGTTTTAAAAAGTGGAGGGTGTGAATAGGGAGGAAAAATTTTGGAAGGTGTTGACCACGGAAAAGAAATAAATGGAGGGTGCAAATAGGGGCTTTGGCCTTTCAATTAATCCTATCATGAAAAGTCAATCAATATCTTTTAGCTATGCAAAATAATTTATATTGTTTTTTATTTTTTTCACATTAAAGATTTATAGACAATTTATGTGTTTACTTATTTTATCCTTAAAAAATTGATAAGAAGAAATAATTTCTAATATGATAATAATTAAAGTAAAAGGATAAAATAAGGGTTATAGTAGGAAAAAAATACATTTGTCTACATTGAAAAAAATGAAAAAATGACAATTAATTTGACACAAAATTTTTAAAAAATTAAAAAATGATAGTTATTTTGGAATAAAAAAAGCAACAATATGTTTGGTTTGAGAGGAGCAAGGCAGGGATGGGTGAAAATTCCTTTATTAGGTTAGTAAAAATTTGGTGGATAAGGGAGGGAAATGGAGTTTTTAATTTATCTTTTGCTTTTAACTATTTTACTTATGCAAATGAGGGAAGGGGAAGGAAATGGAAGGAGGTTGCATCCTTTTATTCCCTTCTCCTCTCTTCTCGTTTATTTCCTTCAAACCCAATATATATTTTTTTTTATCAGCAAAACAAAGAGAAATATATTATTTGAAGGAGTGCAAGGGGTACTTCAACCCATATACAAAGTTAAAAACCTATTATTGGCATTAGCAAAACAAACCAATCAGCCAAATATA